GGCTGTTGTAAGTCGAGAAGTTCTACACCAGGACCAAAATATGACTTAGTTCAGAATAGTGAGGACTGATAAACACAAGATGTGTTACAGATACATAAGGTTCTCCTGAAGAAGCATATAATTTATCAATAAACATAATCCAGGAAAGTATGTTCCTTAAAACCCAAATGAAACACAAAGCAATGGGGCTGCCAGATCAGTAACAAACCTCATAGTACTCCAACTTGTGAGAAGAAACTGTTTCTGGAGGCTCAACATGAATATGCAGCGGTTGTTCACCAAAATGCTGATTGTAGCTAAAAATAGGTTGAGACGAAATTTTACTATCTTCATCATAAGACAAGAATTCCTACATGTTATATTCAACAGCTATTAGAAGAATAGAAAATATGCTGCATCAGTTTGGAAGATTCAGAAGTAGTTGGTCGTAGAACATAAAGAATGGTTATGTTTATTTTGGAAGCTACAGATGAAACTCTTTTTTGTTTATGAGGCAAGCCACACTTTCCTATTAAAGATAGCACAAATCACGTGAGGTGGAACAGATGTGTGTGTATAATTTAAAATTGCTTTGTTATAGACAGAACTGGGATGCAGATGGCTAACTCGTTCACTAACAGATAAATTAAACAATTGTATTTCACATAACTGAAAAGCAAGATTACAGTGACACTGACGCATAATTGAGCTAAGCGCCCATGTTAGCAACATATCCAGGCATGATAATAGATCAAAGGCATTTCACCCGGCTTTATTGAAAGCTTAACGAAAGCCCACGATCCTGCGCTGGGAATACCAGCTTACAACAGAGTTCAGACAGATCATAGAGGGGAAAAAGTTTAACTATCCAGGCATGATAAGCACCTGGTATTGAGATTCCTCCTCTCTGTAGACATCCTGGTATCTCTGATTAGGAAACCAAGTAGTCTCATCGGGAACACCATGAAACCAGTTGTGTTGTTCATAGGATCCATCATATGAAGTGTAGGTAGGCTGTTCATAAGGTCGATCATATGAAGCGTAGGTAGGCTGTTCATAAGGTCGATCATATGAAGCGTAGGTAGGCTGTTCATAAGATCGGTCATATGAAGTATAGGTAGGCTGTTCATAAGATCGATCATATGAAGTGTAGCTAGTCTGCTCATATGAATGCGTCTCCTCTTCTGCATTACCATACCAGGACGATCGCTGTTTCCAAACAACAAAATAGAAGGGAATCCCCCATCCGTCAGTAAGAATGGCAGCACAACACTGGAGAGAGCTGAGGAAAATCCAGAACGGCACGACGCGCGTGTATTTGCTCACGTTGCTCTGAAACTGCTCCTGGCCGGCGTCGCGCCACTGCACAGTCCCGGTGGCCGGCGGCGCCACCTCGACGACGACGGCGTCCTCGACGCCCCCTCCTGTTGGCGTAGACGGGGACCCCGAGGGAGTCGACCCCGATGCGGCGCTCCCCGTAGCCGTCGCAGTGGCCGAAGAGGAAGTCCAGCCCCCGCATGCACTGCCTCCAGTAGTCGCGGTGGCGGGCGCGGGCGCACGCGCACGCGCACGCGGAGCGGCAGCGGCAGTGCGGCACCGGCGGCGGCGGCAGGAACGGCCACCCGCGGAACACCTCCGGCGTGGGGTACAACGGCTGGTGGCGCAGCGCGTCCCCGTAGTCGTACGGCTCCGCCGTGGGCGCCGGGGCCGGGGATGGTGGCGAGCTCGGCCGAAGGGGCAGTGGCGCTGGCGCTGGCGCCGGGGCGGGTGCGGGCGGCTGAGGGAGCGGAGATCGCGGCACCGGCTGCGGGGCGGTGGGGGCGGGCGTCGCAGCGTGAGAGGCGACGGGGTAGCAGGTGGCGGAGGAGGGCGGGAGAGGCGAGCCGTAGGTGGCGGTGATGTCGTAGCCGCCGGCGTAGGGGTGCGGGTTGTAGTAATCGAACTCGTCGTCGTCTAGGTAGTCGGCGTTGGCAGCGGCGGCCGCCATTGAGGATGGCGGGGTTGGTGGTTGGCGAGGTCGAGGAGGAGGCGAAGTGAAGGTGGTTGGACTCGAACTCGAAGTGGGAAGAGCGGGGGGGCTGGGGAGTGGAGGGGCAGCGGCAGGAGGAGGCGGCGGCTGTAGCGGCTGGTGGCATGTTGTTAACCTCTCGCCACTTCAGGGTGATGGCGACGTGAGAGCGAGAGGCGTAGGCCAGAAGCGATTGTGGCGTCGCGGCGTCGTGGGGAAGAGGAGGACGGAGGCCACCGCCACGCCTAACAATTCCATTATTGCGCTGCACCCGCACTGTGGGACCGGCATCCGGATCACGATCATCGTGCGTCAAATTATGGAGGGGGTGGAGCCGACGAGCCGTCCTCTCTTTCGCTCGGGTGCTGCCGTACTGGAAGGCCGTGAGCCCGTGAGGCTTCCACCCGTCCGTCAAAGTCAAAACCGCACGGTGATGGCACGTGCCAAGTTGCCACGTGGGGAGCTGTGATCAACGAGTCAACGGTAATCGAGTGCGTGCGATCGGGAGGACTACTACTACGCTTGCAGAGTGAGGCGAGAGGCATCAGCTCCGGGCCTTGGGGACGTAACGTTGACGTGACGGATACGTTCGACCTTTGATTCACCTCAAATCAACGAATCTTTAGGGATCGGTGTGACTTGTGAGGCCTTCAGGGCAGAGATTCCTCCCCGCATAGGAGTTCTTTGTTTGCATTGTGTGGTGATTCTAAACTTTGCTAGCGCGCCAATAATGCGATGTAGTGTTGGTGGAATTTGTGGTCATTGCTGCGCGTATTACACTCTGTTTTTAGAGCTTATTTGATATAATAGCTAATCGCTAGCTAGCTAAAAATTAGCCTTAATATATCAAATAAGAGGGCTAATAGGTGGACTACTATTTTAAGTCAAGTCTAGCTAGTTATTAGCCAACCAGCTAGTCCACCTAACTAATTTAAACTATTTTTTAAGTCTAACTAGTATAACTCATCTAACGTGCCTGGTACCTAGTCCAATAAAGCAAAAAAAAAAGTTTAGGTGGGTCCTAGTGATGTTGATCTGTACGCCATCCTAGTGAGCAGGTATTAGCTTTAGCCCAGGAACAGTTGTGGGGACTAATTCCTCACACGGGGCCAATAATGAGGATAAATTATTGGTTGTAAGGGTTTGTTTAGATGTCCATTCAATCAATACGTGTTGGAGTGGGCTGTGTGGATTGATATAGATACATGAGCATCTAACAAAGGTTTAAGTTTTGACAAGAGTGGGGTTATAGAATTTTCCTCCCCGTGGAAATAAAGATAGGAGGCATTCCCCGATGGAAAATTTTCTGTTTCCACCTGAGGGCTTAATTGGGGTCTAAGATAGAATGCAGAAATGGGAAAAAATGCCGTGTTCCAAAGGGGACCTAATTGAGGCGTTGGGCTGCCTGCCATCCCGTGAGCCGGTATTAGCTTTAGCGCATCCTGCTGGGGGCCTGCGAGCTACAGGGTCTACGACCCAGCTTTGGCTTGGAGGAGCCTCGCGGCCTCAGGTAACGCTTTGGGCTTAGTAGGCCCAACAAAATCTGTTACGAGCAGGCGAGCTGCTAGAGCCTACTTTGAGAACTCGGCCTGCTGAGACATAAGTCTTGGCCCAATACAAGACTAGCTGAACTTTATACCAACATTTGATTTTTTTAAAAAAAAAAAGAAAAAAAAGATTAACGGCCCACTGCCCGTTCGCGTGCCGGTTTTCTACAGTTTGCTAGTCCACCGTCTGCCTAACCTTTTTTGCTTTTTAAAAGAAGTCGTGAGGAGTACTTCGTCAACTTGCTCGTAGTCTGGGTTGCATTTAACATAATCTCTTTCTCCTACGTTGCTATTGATACTCTAAATAATACTACTTATTTAGGCTTCTCGGTAACTAGAGAGCTATTAAGGTTCAATAGTTTAATAAGGGGTAGCATAGTCTTTTTATCCTTTTTGCTAATCTATCCTAAAGTCACTAGAAATTCATTCTTCCAGGACAGAGTGAGTATTGCCGATGCCGTATGCAAGGTTTGGCAAGATCTTTTACGTTTTGGCGTAACCGATCCGATAGTTCGCTAGCTTGTGCTACGATTTTCATTTTGCCATCTGAACCAGGTGGAGTTCTCGAGCACCTGATTCTCAGACGAAACCCGAGCACCTATTTGTCGTCACGGCGACGCCAGTCAACGTATAGAAAAGGTACTGTAACAAAGGCCAAAATAAAACCGTTCACAATCCATCACCGCGGTGAACCAGTCACAAGTTTTCCACCAAACACGCGGGGTCGCGCGTGGACCCAGCATGGACACGGACGGAGTCCCCGGGGCCCGGGTTCCTATTCGTTCCACGCCGCCGCAGCCCTTCGGGTGCCCGGCCAAACTCTGAAAGCAACCCCAAGTCCCCCACGCGACGCGCGCGTCCCGGAAGCCTCCGGCACCGGCACGGCGAACTCAAGCAGCACGGGCACGCACCGTCGCCGCGCGGCCAGGGCCAGTATAAAAACGCCGTCCCATTCCAAACCCGCCGGTTTCCCACCCCTTGGATTCCGTACACCACAGCCAGCCGGGCGGTTCGGCAGGCAGAGAGCACTTCCCCTCCCCGCGCAGCCGCGCTTGCATCTTCCCTGTCCGTCCGCCCGCGGCAGATCCCGAGGCGGCTCGCATTTCCGTCCGCCGCCCACTCGCCTCCAACGGCCGCTTGCCCACGCCCCGCCCCGACGACACGCGATCCCAATTCCCAAGCCTGAGCGAGGTCAACTCAAAGTATCCCCGCGCCCGCCTTTAAACGTTGTCTTCCCTCCCCCTCACCCCGCCACGACGCAGTCGCAGCAGCAGCAGATCCACCACCGACGCGCGCGCCGCGCGCCCCGACGCGGAGCGCTGGATCCCGAGCAGCAGGAGGCGTCCAACCCGTCGCCGTCGCCCCCGGCCCCCACACCTGCCGCAACCGCAAGCGCCGGCCGCGGCGTCCGCTACCGCACGCCCTCGTCCCCGGACCTCCTGCTCCTCCCCACCGACGCCGCCAAGATGCGCCGCTACTCCGCGCTGCCCAACGGCGGCCGCCAGGAGACGCTGGCCGACCGCGCGCACCGCTACCGGGGCGTCCTGCTTGTCGTCCTCGCCCCGCTCGCGCTCGTCTCCCTCGTCCTCCTCCTCATGCCGCGCTCGCCAGCCACCACGGGCGTCGCCAGGAGGTCCGGGCCCGCGGGGGCTGACAAGTACGCCGTCATCTTCGACGCCGGGAGCTCCGGCAGCCGCGTCCACGTCTTCCGCTTCGACTCCAACCTGGATCTCGTCCACATTGGCAGCGAGATCGAGCTCTTCGTCCAGGTACGCTACCTGTTCGTCAATTGGATCTGGATCTGGTTCGCGTCTCGTGATCTCAAAGCTCCCTCCCCTCTCGCCTGCAGAAAAAACCGGGACTTAGCTTCTATGCCAACGACCCCCGGGAGGCCGCCGAGTCGCTCGTCTCTCTCCTTGATGAAGCCAAGCGAGTGGTGCCCACGGAATTGCGCGATCAAACGCCTGTCAGAGTCGGGGTGGGTGGCACACCGTACCACTAGGTTGTGTAATTGATGCTTCATGGTGTTCTTACTGTATTAGCTTCCTTCTCTATGGGCAGGCCACCGCAGGGCTGAGAAATTTGGGTGCACAAAAGTCCGAGGCAATATTGCAAGCGGTAAATGGTTCTTCTAGAATAACCTTTCAATAATGTCGTCACTGCATTCATCAGTGGATGTAGCATGCTCTCTCTAAATGAATCTGTGTTTATTACCATGGTCATCAAAATTCTGTTTAACTCAAATTCGCCGCTGCTGTTTCTGCCAATGGTGCAGGTTAGGGATCTTCTTCGCGAAAAGAGTTCCTTTAAAAACCAAGAGGATTGGGTTACAGTTCTTGATGGAACGCAGGAAGGCACATACGAGTGGGTATGATGCTGGTCTTATCCATCTGTTGCTCTCGTAACTGTGTCCAACTAAAGGGCAGTGCCGGAGGCTCTCATATGAGTGGGGGTTTGGGGAAGAAAAAAACCGAGGCAAGCCTTCCCCCGCAAATCTGCGGAGAGGCCACTTCGAATCCACGACCTGGTGACTCAGTGAGACAGCTCTCACCACTGCACTAGGCCTGCCCTTCTATACAATGTTGCCCATGCTCTAGAATGATAAGATTATCTAGTGTATCAGCATTCTTGATTTGGACAAAAGTGCACCACTTATTAGGGGGTGTTTGGATCCGGTGACTAAAATTTAGAAGATGTCACGTGAGGGTGTCGCATGGGGTGTTCGGATACTAATAAAAAAACAAATCACAGAATCCGTCAGTACTCCATGAGATGAATTTATTAAGCCTAATTAATTCATCATTAGCACATGTTTACTGTAGCACTATATTGTCAAATCATTGACTACTTAGGCTTAAAAGATTCGTCTCGCAAATTAGTTGCAAGCTGTGCAATTAGTTTTGTAATTAGTCTATATTTAATACTCTATGTATGTGTTTAAACATCCGATGGGACAACGATTAAAGTTTAGGAGGAGAAACCAAACACCCCCTTACAAAAAATGCTTTTTTGTGCAATCTATCTGTCAATCCTTTCAGTACTGCTGTCTGCCAGGCTGCACAATATAATAAATAAATATCATATAAGTGATAGTTCAAACCAATTCAGATTCATAGGATCTAATTAGTTTTTAATTAATTCAAATCTAATGCAATAAGTTGGCATGATAGAGGCTTTTGTTTTGACATAATGACATCTCATCAAACATTCTGATTACCCATTTCACTTCAGAGGTTTAGGAATTATTCACGGGTTGTGTGAGATTGTTCAGGAATTGCTCATGATTCGTGCTTCTATATTCACACTTTAGTCCCGCAACAAGTAACAATTATTATTTTTCTATCAACTTATAGGTTACTATCAATTATCTGTTGGGAAACTTGGGAAAGACTTCTGCAGACACGGTTGGTGTAGTTGATCTTGGTGGTGGATCTGTCCAAATGGCATATGCTATTGCAGAGAAGGATGCAGAAAAGGCTCCTAAACCATCTGATGGGGAAGATGCATATGTGAAGAAACTGTTCCTCAAAGGAACCACATATTATCTTTATGTTCATAGGTTAGTGTTGCAAATTATTGAGCTTTGAATTGTTGCTACCGTTTTAAAGTTCTAATTAGGTCGCCTGTGGCAAACAGGCATAGTAACAGACACCAGCTAAACCAATTTAAGCACCTGATGGTGGTTCCAATCCTGCAAATCCCTTGTTTCTCCTATTTTGATTCATAGGTCATAATCCCTTACAAAGCTGAAAATTGCTTAGTTCTGAAAGTAGCAACTTAAGGGAATTGTTATGTGATGAAAAAAAAAACAGAAAGAAAACACTACTCCTCGGTAGAATAAACTTAAGTGAGCGACGTTAAAAAAACATTGTTTTAGTACTATTTCCTGACGTAAAGTCATGCACTGGTCATTTGTATAATTTTTTTGGGCAGTCTGTTGGGAATTACATGATATGATTATACCTGCCCATAACATCATAAAATATTGCTGGAAACATTTTTTTGCAGTTATTTGCATTACGGGTTGCTAGCTGCTAGAGCAGAGGTCTTAAAAGCTGGCAATGGCAGTGGTTACAGCAACTGTATGTTAGAGGGATTTCAAGGTATGGTTGCTTCTACCCTGGTCTCTCTATCATGTATGTTTCCTGCCTGTGTATACAGTCTTGAGTACCTCCACACCAACGAATTGATGTTCTTTTTGTTAAAAAGATGAACTTTGTCAAGTTGCCACGATGTTTTGTTTGGGAAAGGGTCATCGCTTGATGTCCCACAAATTATAGTACCTTGATAGTCTAGTTACAGTGCTGGTCACAACTGTGCTAGAGATTATGGACCCAGTTGGATTGCATTTTTTGTAACTTCTAGATACCTCACCATCTGACATTTTGCTGATTTGTGGCACCTGATATAATTGTGTGTAATGATTGTAGGGCAATACAAATATGGTGACGATACATTTGAAGCATCTGCCTCACCTTCTGGTGCTAGTTATTCAAAATGCAAGGATGATGCAGTGAAAGCTCTTAAAGTTGATGAAGCATGCACCCACATGAAGTGTTCTTTTGGTGGCATTTGGAATGGTGGTGGTGGTGCTGGACAAAAGAATCTCTTTGTAGCATCGTTTTTCTTTGATAGGGCTGCTGAGGTAAGGTTATGGAACAATTGGTTCTAGTAGTTTCGTAGTGTCCCATCTGAACTTTGAAATTAATTTTCTTGTTTTCCAGCCGTTGTTTTATCCTTGTTACGTTTGTAACCATTTACTGGTGTCTTTTCAGGCTGGATTTGTGAACGCCAATGCAGCTGTTGCTAAAGTTAAACCCTCAGACTTCAAACAAGCTGCCGAGCGTGCTTGCAAGTTGAGTGTGAAGGATGCCGAAGCTACCTTCCCCGGTGTCCAAAAGGATAACATTCCATATATCTGCATGGACCTTGTTTATCAGTACACATTACTTGTGGACGGATTCGGTATGACCTGGTCTAACGAAACTAATCAGAATAGCATAAAGGTTGTAAGCGCCTTCTCACTTATTTTGCAAACATTCTTGCAGGTGTTGATCCCGACCATGAGATGACCTTGGTAAAGAAGGTCCCTTACAGTGATGCATATGTCGAAGCCGCATGGCCGCTTGGCAGTGCCATCGAGGTGGCATCTTCATCATAGGAAGGAAACACAGTTTAGCAAGGTAACATCGGACGGCATTGTTGTCATGAAGTTTTGCGTTGAGAGTTTTTTCCCCCCCTTGATCGCTTACTGAAATCACACCATTTTGTCACTCAATCCATTCATCCTCCTATACGGTACGGTAGCTCTACACATAAGGCAATTCTCTGTTGTAGTGTTGTACTTGTTTCCAGCGGCCATTGTAAGCCCTATTGTTATTAATATCTGTATACTACTAATGCAAGTAAGATGAGAGCCTCAATCATTCTTTTTGACCTCTAGTATACTGGGATGCGCATGATAATAAGTGCCATCATTCGCTCACTGAAAATGCATACATGTATGGTCCATTGACCGAAATCTGACTCACGTCTTTGCCCTTTGGATCTGAAACCATTATGGCCGTCATTGTGTTTACCGGCTTGTTCGAGAAAAATTGTGTTTACTGGCTGCCCTTTGCATGGTTGCTGTTGGAAAACAGTATTAACTGTGTGGGCCTGAGCTGCTTATCTATTGCTGGCTTGCTGTGCCTGTGTACTTCCTCTACATCCATCAGGTACAGACGATGCTGCGGCAATTTCGGGCTCGATGGTGTATTGGGCTTCGCCCGGTAAACATGGGCTTTACTGTATTGCTACTGCCTACGCAATTTTGCCTGTCGTATGCACGGTCTAGCTTTCAGAGGTGCAACTCCTCTGTGTTGATTGAGGGAACCTGAGAAATGCAGGATGCGTCACGAGTGAGGTAAAAACAGGAGTACGCAGTGCCATCGAGGTTGCATCTTGTTCATAGCCATCTTGTTCAATGTTCATAGGCTGGGTGTACCGGAAATCACTATTAGTTGAGATATGAATTCATTGGTGAGTTCACATGGACGTGGATGGTGGTTTTCCTTGATCTGCGCGCGCTGAATTTACCGTTTTGAAGCCAACGGAAGATGTAGGGGCTCCCTGGTTGCAACCCTGTCAAGCAGGTTTCAACTCTGCCTGGTAAACAAGCAAACAAATCCATAGTGATGGTGGAAGTTTTAGGAGCAGGACATAGGGGTATCGGTGGGGGAGGGAGTTCCATGGGCACAGATTGTTCGGTTAATCTTCGACACGGAAACCCCTCTTAATCCTTTCGGATCAAGCCCTAGGCGCGAGCCTCGGCGGCCGTCTGGCGTTGTGCCTCCGGCCACAGCCATCATCGTAGCCTTGCTCTGTCGATTCGGAGAAGACAAGGAAGACGGGCGGTGGCAGATCACTAATTTACTCCCCCAGATCATTTTAGTTGATCCAGTTTACCCCTTAACAACATTTATTATCTCTATTTCTCCATGTTGAGTTTTAGTTGAAATTTTGTGAGACGATAGAAAAGACAGCAGAATTTATGTTAGAAGAATACATCTTAATTTTTTTGCCATTATTTTGATAGGTTAGGAAATTTAATAATAAATTAAAATTAGATATATGGAATTGTATTCACAATTTATTTTTCTAAGACAAAATATGATGTCCTTGATCACCTTATAAAATTTAAGATTGAAACACAATTTATATGTAGAGAAACAAAAAAAGACAAATCGTGATAAGGTGTAAATTGGACCATTAAAATAGAGAGAATACATCGGACGAAGCATTAGTTAAGGGGATATCTAGACGTAACATTTTTCTTATAATATTATATGAAACATAGTTTCATGATATACTTATTCAGTGTCGCAAATGTCAATAATCTTCTCTATAGATATCACCACCAGTTTGACTTAGGATAAAGTAAAATGCCGGGTAGTTTTGTTCATGGACTGAGGTCGGACTTTATGTGGCTGGTGGAAACACGAGCGGTCTCCTCAGGCCATCGCGTCGCTCTCCTTTGGAGGCGACTCGGGCGGCGCCGCAGAATCCTCGGCCTTCGGGCACCGATCAGTAGTATATTGTTAGCCGCCGTTGCCTGATGAATTCGGCGGATTAAAAAATGGAGGCTGCAGAAAAGGATGGATAGAATGAAATGATTCTCTGGCTGGTATGACGTGAGGAACTGAGAACTCCAGGAGATTAGGATTCCAGATAGACAGGTTAGCTTCTCAAAGTTGAAGAGAATATAGAATATACCCTATGAAGAACTGAAGAGACCAAATGAGAGTCCAAATAAAAGCCGCACGTGTGCGCTGCGTTATTAGTGTTTTTCAAGTTTAAAAAAAACTGTTATCATTGAAGCATGTGTGAGCTCGTAGTACAAAATAATGGCACTAAAAATACTCTAATTTCAGACAACGAAGCGCTACTAGTAGCACAAGATTAATCTCCACTGATTCGTCCCACCAAAATCTATCGATGGATAAATGTATATATAAAATAAGAAACAAATAAATCATGGTGTGACGTCCGGTGGCACCTGACTGCCATTCAGCTTTAATTTGCTTCCACTTGACACTACTTCTCCATTTTCAGGTGAGTGGTGACGCTGACACGATGGGTTTTTTACTGGACGGAGTTTATCCGGATGTCAAGTTTTTCCACGCGGTCAGCAGGCACTCATTAGCTGCTCAAATTCAATTCAGCGTTTATTCTATATTCAGCGTTTATCCACGGAACGAATTGCGCTTGTTCTAGAGCCTGTGCCACACGGTCCAATTCAATTCAGCGTTTTACCCACATTAGCTGCTCAAATTTGTACTACTAGTGTTTTTTACCTCACCCATGACGGAAGCATCATCAGATTCCCTGAACACAGATGAGTTTTATCCTTGGTGTTGCTCCTCTAAAAACAGACCACACAGTAGCAGAGCTGTAGCAGGTTACACAGAAATGCGACAAGCAAAACTGCGTAAGCAGCAGACGTGTAGCAAGCGTCGTCTGTAGCTGGTAGCAAGCTGCCCTATTCGCTTGGCTGATAAACCATGACTAAAGGTACGGTTGTTCGTCGGCTGAAAAAGTACGACTTATAAACTAAGCAAACTGGCGTCGTCTGTAGCTGGTAGATGCCAAGTTGGAGTGGAAGTGCACAGGTATAGCAAGTTAGCAACAAACAGCTCAAGCTCAGTGACAGTCTTTTCTGCAGCCACAATGAAAAGGACAGCGAGTAAACACAACGAGATAATCTCAATGGTTTCAGATCGAGAGGGCAATGCAAAGCGCAGGCTCCGTTAGACCGTTACAATACCGACGTGATAAAGTCCGATCCCTTTTTTTTTCCCGAAGGATAACAAAAGCTTTGTCATGATTTCTATTAGATCCAGGAAGAAAAAAGATAAGTGCCTGTCCAGTTTTTTTAATAGAAACAGAACCAAAACCATACAACTGAAGAGAATGTTTCACTCATCCTGCTCAACTCTGTTATAGCACCCGAACAACTCACTCCACTGCTGGCTCCTGATCGAATCCACCCAACTAAAAACTCAAGAAAAGAAGGAACACAACGACCCGCCACGCGATCTCAGAACTGGAACGCCTGGCCATGCCCCAAGGAGGTAACCTGCAACTTCCAGCACGAAAAGAGAAGAGGTCGGAAAGGACGCCTCCAAGAAGGGAACGACGGTGTCATCCAAGCTTTCGCCCTGATCTCCAACAGCCTCCACACCATAGCCGCCGAAGACCCCACCTTGCCAGGGAGGGTGGGTGCAGCAAAGATTCAGCAGCAGCCTCACACGTCCGTCGCCCCAAGGATGCCGGCTAGGAGAAGTCTTAGGAGAAGCCCGCCGGAGGGTCCGCCCCCGCCGGAACCGACAAAACCGGCCAGCAGCAAGCAGATCCGGCCAGCTCCGCCACAGAAGCCAGCCCGAGGAAGGGGGAAAGCAGCTGATGGGGAGAAGAGGGCCGAGATCAGCCCCGGTCGCCCAACCTACTAACGTCCCTGCCCCTTGCTGAGCCGGCCCCGCGTCCACCACGCCACACAAGTTCTCCAACAGCCTACGCACCGAAACTGTCGCCGTCCTGCACCAGCCTCATAGCACCTCCACCGCCAGCGAGCTCCACCGGAGCAGGTCCGGTCCAGTAGTGAGTAGTGGAGGCGGCGGATTTGCGACCATCACCACAGCCTGGCACCGCCAGCTGTGCCACCATGGCACCGTGGGAATGCCAACGCCAGGCCGCCGCCAGCCAGTGCCACCATGACGCTGCTGGAGCACACCCAGCCAAGCCACTGTCGGCCACGCCACCACGGCGTCGCCGACGAACTGCCGCACCGCCGTTGTCTCCGCGCACACACACCGACAGCCCGGCCAACGTCCACAGCCCCAGCCACCTCCGGCACCGTTCCCGGCGCCTTGGGCCGGAGCCGCCGCCACCGCCAAACCGGAGCCCGTCTAGACGCAGCCGAGGGCCAACCACCACGACGCCGCCAGATCCAGCCGGAGCACCACCGAGTTCGGTGAAGAGATGGCCTAGGCAGACACGACTGCACGCGACCTCCGGCGATCCGCGCGGAGTCCAGTCGCCGGAAGTACTGCAGGGAGGCGAGCTCGTCCGCCACCACCAGATCCAGCCACCGGCGACCGGATCTAGCTGCCGAGCACGCGGATCCGTCCACCCCCAACGTAGGAAACGGCTGCGCCAGCCACCGCTGGTCAGGCCTCGACGTCCACATGCAGCACCAACAGGAGAGGGAGAGGGAGAGGAAGAAAGGAGAAGGACACCCGGCCGCCGCCGTCCCTGCCCTTCGCCGGAACCACAGCGTTGAGCTATGTCATAATTTTACCGCTGTAAAAATTAATGCTGAAAGGTCAATATATCCACTCCAACCACTCAAGTATTGCTAGGCCTGTTTGGTACAGCTCATGTGAGCTGTTTTATTTATCAAACGTTCATTTATAAAATAGCTTCCCTTATAAAACTGTTTTTCTCTCCCTTTTACAGAGACGTGAGTTGGGATGAAGTTGAAAAAGTAGCTTATCCTAGCTCTCTCTCTCATTTCTCTCTCCCATCCATACATGAAACTGTTAGTGAAGCTGTTTTGTCAAACAGTTTTTTCAAAACAGTTCAGCTTCACCTAGAAAATCACTCATGAAGCTATTTTCTAAAAAAAAATAGCTTTACTAATGAAGCTAAGCCGTGCCTAACAAGCCCTGCGTACTATCACCATCCACAAGACTGTGTACAACACCTTATTTTCATTCCAGAAATTGCAACTGTTGTATTGCCGTATCTATTTTTTTTTGCATACATTCTTTTGCTGTATTTAATTTTCGCAAGCAACTAAAATTATCATTGTAGTATTATTGATTGATCGATCTAGCAAGACAATATATATACTCTTGACTAAATAAAAGTAGTGTAGTAGTACATGGATCCATCAAGCTCCAGCTACCTTTGCACTCTGTGCCTGAAATGAATATAGAGTACAGTACTCTACATATATAGGAGGGAAAAATGGGATACATATACCATACGCCTAACGTCGTCTGTTCGTTCAATACTGGTTCCAGTACAATAGTGCTACTGCTACAATTGTTCTTCACCGCACGACCCATCTTATTAATTAATGGCCTCCAACCAATCCCATCCAATCCACGAGCTCAATCCCCTTGCTTTCCATGTCGCCGCAGGTTGCTAGCAATTCCGTAGATTAATTTGACGATCCATCATATCGATCAGTTGATGCAGTCGTATGCATGGAAGATATATGCCCCCAACAAAAAGTCAGCTACTAGTAGAAAAGGTGTATCTAGAATTGAGGAAGCATGTGATGGTTGAGGCCGCTGCCGAGCACGGACGACGTCGTCGCCGGCAAGCCGCGGGCGGGCTGCGGCGCGTCGAAGCAGGAGCTGCTGTTGAGCCTCTTGGCCGCCGGAGAGTGGTGGTGGTGGAGGCCAGCAGCGGCAGTGGTGATCATCATCCCGGCAGCGCACTCGTCCGGGCTCATCATCATCATCATCGCCTCCTTGCGCTTCCCGCCAGCCGCGGCGGCCGGGGGCGGCGAGTAGATCGTGACGTCGGAGCCGTCGCCGCCGACGGCCAGGAGCTGGTTGAGGGAGGGGTGCACGGCGAGCGGGGCGTGGTGGTCGGCTATCTCGGCCGGGGCGTCCAAGATCTGCGCGAGCGTGTACTCGTCCAACAACAGCTCGGAGATGGAGGGTATCTTGGGGAGCCTCGGAAGCGCCGCCGCGGCCGGCTGCGGGTGCATGACGGGCGTAGTACTTGTAGTGCTAGCAGCACCGCCGCCGATGCCTCCGATGGCCGGCGTCGCGACGTAGAAGCTGGTGCTGCTGCAGAAGTCGTCGAAGCAGCTGCCGCCGGGAGAAGTCTCGTCGTGGTCCAGGTGCTCGTAGTCGGCGAGCGGCGGCACCATCGGTGACGCCTGGCTGGACTTCTTGTAGATCCGGCAGAGCACCCAGTCGTCCAGCTGCACGCAACACAAACAAAGCAATGTCATCGTCACCATCGTCGTGTCGTCATGCCCCCATCGCTGTCAACGCTTTAGTCGTGTGAATGTAATGCATGCATCTTTTTTAATTTGCGTGCACCGGCAAGCTGCCATTCACGGCGATAGGATGCTAGCTAGTGCCTGCCGGTAGATGTGACGCTGGTTTGGCTGATGGCTATGAGCCTATGATTGATGGCTAGGTATAGCGCTTTTGGTCAGTTGATGCTTGGAGATTGGAGAATGAAGAAGAATTCAGTCAGTGAGGGCAGTTTGGTCATCCTGAAAGGCAGCGGAGTGTGGTAACCAAACCAACGGCGACTGGCGGTGCAACGACATGCCTCCTCACACAGAGAAGATATGCCGGCGCGCGCGTGCGTGCATGCGACCGGCGTGACCCACGAATATTGTTCAAGTCGTTACGAACGAATCAAATGAAAGCGGCCCATGCATCACCATGGATGGGATGATGAATGAGGTCGATCGATGAACATACCCTCATGGAGACGTTCCTGAACTTGGACGGCGGACGGTAGGTGGCGGCGAGGCGGTACTCGTGCATGATCCAGTTGGTCTTGGAGCCCCTGGGCGGGCGGCCCTTGTAGAAGACGAGCGCCTTCTTGACGCCGACGGCCTCGCCGGTGGCGGCGTCGTGGATGGGCTTGTCGGTGCCGGTGGCCTTCCAGTAGCCAGACCCCGCGGCGCGGTTGGGGCGGATGCCGTTCGGGTACTTGCGGTCCCGCGGGCTGAAGAAGTAGTACTCGCCGTCGCCGTACAGCGCCTTGGCTGCCATGCCATGCCATGCCATCAATAAAGTCATTAGGTCTCTGTCGTTCATGATCGGAGGCATCGCGGCGATAAGCTCGCTATCTAGGTAGTAGCTTAAATTATTACCCGGGAGGTCCCATGGGTCGAACTTGTAGATGTCGACGTCGGCGATGATGGGGACGGGGCACGGCGCCGACGCGGCGCGGTTGCGGAGGTAGTGCAGGATGAGCTCGTCGTCCGTCGGGTGGAACCGGAACCCCGGCGGCAGCTGCGACGTCGCCGCCTGCGCCGCCGACATCATCGTCGTCATCGTCTGATGATCCATATATCAATGGATGGCCTAATAATCCGATGATCGATCGAGTTGGGAGCTAAGCTAAGCTAAGCTAGACCTCGGTCCTGCAGCTAGCTCGATCGATCGATGTGATGGAATGGAATCGATCGAAATGGAGTCGCTGGAGGACCGACTGAACCTCTTGGGGACGATGGGGTGGGCCGCTTATATGCTCGCGCGCGCCTTGTCCGCTAGCGCCGCGTGACGTGGCCCGTGGCTGGCTCCCTCGGCATTCCGTGGGCGGCTGCAGGGGCAGAAGCGGCATCCGTGTCGTGCCGGGCTGTCGTCCCATTCGTTATTCCTCGCGTCCGGCATGACTCGCAGCCTGGTCGGTTGGCTGGTTTATTTCGTTGCTGGTTTATGAAGAAGTATTGTTGGCTGGTTTATGTGAGAGAAAAATACTGTTTCGGCTAGAAATTTACGATAGTTTATGACAAGCCACAGCGAAACAAACACGTTGTCGATCGGCGCGGCGGGCCAGCGTGGGCCCAGGCCGGGCTGGGGCGTGTGGCGTCACCACGTGTGTGTGAGAGAGGGAGGGAGGTCGTTGCAGCGGCAGCGGTGATGACTGGCCGGCCGCCTGCTGGCCCTGGCCCAGCCCAGCCCAGCCGCCGCGGCGCCGCCCTTGCGGCATGCCAGCATACGCATATGCTCATCAATCTCGTGTGATATCTATCGCCACTCCTCCACCATAACTGCTTGCTACTCTACGGCTGTATCTTAGCTAGCTTCCTCAAGAACTGCGGAGTCATTAGTGGAGTACGTGTCACTGTGTACGTAGTACTTTGCGACACTGTATCTGTAGGTATTGCAGCCGGAGATGCCACTACAGGAACAGGAACAGGAGTGGTGATGATATTAAGGTTGGATATCTGCATCTAATTAGCTTTTTAGTAGTATGGAAAGAGAAAGAAAAACTACTTAATTAAATATACACGCATTATTATGTTAGACTGTCTCCAACACCATAACGCAAATCCAAAATACGTCTCCAACAGTAGTTTGCCTACCCGAAAACAGCTTCCAACGGCTGACCCAAACCCGTCACCTATTTTGCCTACCGGAGCAAACAATACCCAAAAAAGCATCGCCTCTCTCCTCGCTAGGCAAAGCGTCGGCGCTCGCTCGCGTCCGAGGTGGCCCGCTCCCGCACCGGCCGCGCCGCCGGCCCCGCTCGTCCGCGCTCGCTCGCTTCGGCACCGCTCGCCAACGGCCCACGCGACGCAAGCCTCCCGGCAGCACGAGAGCTCGCTCGCTGCTATCTGTCTTGGCCATCCGTCGCAGCCTATCCAATTCCAAATCCGCAGACCGAAGCGGAAGCGGGGCACAGAGAAGCCATGGCGCTGTCCCTCTCCCTCGCGCGCCCCGCGCCCCTCGCCATCTCCGCCGGCGCCGTAGCCAGGAAGCTCCCCGCATCCAGCCTCGCCTTCCCGGTCAAATCCTTCTTCGGCGCGCCGCTGGCAGCCACCACGGCCTCCGTTGCGTTGCCGCTCCCGCGCAAGCCGGCCACCTCCACCTCGCTCGAGGTCGTCGCGGCGGGGAAGAAGGGGTACAAGATGAAGACGCACAAGGTTCTTTCCTGCTAGCTCGTCCTTGGCTCCTGCGGGTCATTGGGTTGTTCGGTGCCTTTTGCTGATTCGTGTCTCGTTTGGTTTGTGTGTGTCGTCCTTGGCTCGCGCTTGCCTGCCCACTGCCGCGTGCGCTCGGCCGCGCAGAGGCGCTCGCCCGCGTGCTGCTCGCAGCGCGCTCGTCCCGTGCTTCTTCACCCGTGCCGCTTATCCGTGCCTTCACTCGCGTGCGCTCGCCCGCGCGGAGGCGCTCGCTCGAGTGCTGGCCGCAGCGCGCTCGTCGCATGCTTCCTCTCCGGTGCCGCTTCGCCGTCGAGGACTCCCGCGGCCGCGTCTTCGTCTTCTCCGCCGCGAAGGGACGAGGATGGGGATCTGCTTTTGCGTTGCTGTTGGAGAGGGTGAGTTATGGGTCCGTGACCTTTTTTCTGTTCATAACCTAAAATCAGGAATAGGTATCGTATCTGGGTCTTCCTCGTTGGAGACAGTCTTATATAGGCTTTTCTAGCAAAGCGCAGTACTCCTCCAGTCCTGCAAAGAATATATAATTCCCGTTTTCCGAGGACTCAAACCATTTTATTTAAATTCAACCAAATCCATACGAAAAATTGCATCAAATCATAATTTCACCTAAATTTTATTAGATTAATCATTGAATATATTTTTGTAATAAATTAATTTAGAGATATAAATATTGATCTTATTTTATAAATTTAGTTAAACTTGCGAAAATCTTGACTTGGTTCAAATCTAAAATTTCATTTTTCTGTTGGGACATAGTGACATATAGGTCTCTGTACATTCATGTGTATTACATAGTACTGGGTGATATTTCATCCGACTTGGCCCTGTTCGCTGGAAGGAATTTAGAGAAATATAAAAGAATTTATGAGAGAGTGAACAATATTCTTCAGCTATGCACCGTGAAATCCGGCTGGTTTTTTTACCAGCGCAACTGCCCCGTTGATGAGCCCAAGAATTGCGAGTCCGTGCGCACAGAGAAACTTAGCTCAATCATTGGTAGTACGTGGTTTTGCAAATAACAAATTTGTGCCCATGCGAAAACCGAACACAGTACAGTAAGCTAGTATAGTAGGCAACGAATTCTCAACGCTAGGCTGCACGCGTTGTTCTTGGACTGATAATTAGTAACAAAATATACTACTACTAGTAGCATCAAGGAAGACCGGTCGTATACGTGATACGTCACATCTGATCCAGTGGCAGTGGAGCTTGTTGCTAGTTTAGGCCTTGTTTAGAAGTTTACTCCCTATCTTATCGAACGTTTGGACATATGCATAGAGTATTAAATATAGACTATAAGATAACTAATTATACAGTTTATGACTAATTTGTGAAACGAATCTTTTAAGACTAATTAATTCATGATTTGACAACGTGATGCTAAAGTAACACATGTGTTAGTGATGGATTAATTAGGCTTAATAAATTCGTCTCGCGGTTGACGGATTCTGTAATTTATTTTTTTTATTAGTATCCGAACACTCTATACAACACCTTCGTATAACATCTGATATGACACTCTAAAACTTTACGCTCTGAATTTAAACCAGACCAGCTAGCGCGGGTTGTTATACCGGAAATCAGTATTAGTTGAGATATGAATTCATCGTCGAGTTCACATGGACGGGGATGGTCCTTTTCCGTCGAAAGGCCAAACTGTTGACTCCAACCAACAAAGTGGGCACATATACCAACACATATTATATGCAACTCGATCACTTGAACTTCGCTGCAGCTGACGTGTGGGACAGTGCTGTTCATTGCTGGATAATATATTCCCCTCATTGTCACGAGTGACGCTTTTTCGACACGTACAGTCATACAACAACCCTGATCCACTCCAGAGGGCCCATGGCTAAAAATTAGCTCATCTAGTAACGCTTATGCTCCCAATAGCGCGTTCGTCCGGACGGACGGACCAGACTACGCTGTGCGCCGCGCGCCGCGCGCCCACAGACCGACTTGGTGACTCGGCGTTGCGGCTGCCGTGCATGGTGCCGCGGAAGGCGAGAAGGACGTCGTGGTGGTGTGGGCTCAGACGACGGCTCCAGCGCGGCCTAGAATGGCGGCACTCACTGGGCTGCGTTCGCGAGATGGCTCGGCGTCGTGGTTGTGGTCGTCGAGCACTTCCTAGGTGCAGCACGGACTCCACTCGGGGTCGGGGACGCCGTGGCTCCTTCCGGCATACAACGTCTTTGATGCCATGGTCTGGGGTGACGGTCCGTGACGCTCGCGTCGCTGAAAGGTTCGAATGGCTAGGGGTGAATAGCCTATTAAAATTTCTATAACAACACTTAGCAAACCGATTAGACAAATATGAGGCGAAGTGAGTGTTGCGTTAGCCTACTAAAAATGCAGGCCACCTACCACAGTTCTAGTTTCTATAGTCTCTATCCACACAATGGCTATGTCACTACACTAAGTTAGTATGCTCTCAAATGCTAACAAAAGAGCCACATTAACCAAACTAACAAGCTCTCACGACTAGCTACACTAAAGAGTTTGTCAACTAGTTTACGGTATTGTAAAGAGAGAGAGCAAGATGGTTATACCGCCGAGTCGAGGAATGAACCAATCAATCACAATAATGAATACCAATCACCTTAGAATCAAATGTTGACACAATGATTTTTTACCGAGGTTCACTTGCTTGCCAGTAAGCTAGTCCTCGTTGTGACGATACACTCACTTAGAGGTTCACGCGCTAATTGGCATTACACGCCAAACCCTCAATTGGGTGCCGCACAACCAACACAAGATGAGGATCACACAAGCCACGAGCAATTTTCTAGAGTACCTTTTGGCTCTTCGCCGGAGAAAGGTTAAGAACCCCTCACAATCACCAAGATCGAAGCTGGAGACAATCCTCCTCCTCTGCTCGACGATCCTCGTTGCTCCAAGCCATATAGGTGGCGGCAACCACTAAGAGTAACAAGCGAACCCCGCAGCGAAACTCGAACATCAAGTGCCTCTAGATGCAAACACTCAAGTAATGCACTTGGATTCACCCCTAATCTCACAAAGATGATGAATCAATGATGGAGATGAGTGGGAGGGCTTTGACTAAGCTCATAAGGTTGCTATGTCAATGCAAATGGCCAATAGAGTGAGCTAGAGCCGGCCAAACGGTATTTATAGACATCCCCAAATAATAGAGCCGTTGGCTCAATTATTGGGCTGACTGTGGGATGATCGGACGCACCGGTCGTAGCCAGACCGCCATGTGTCCCTTTCAAATTGTTTATCCATTCACGCCCAATGGCTATCTCTGCGCACAGTAATTCTAGTGACCAGACGCATCGTTAGAAATCTACCGGACGCGAGAGACGCAGCGTCCGGTCGAGTCCAGAGAGCTCTCAGAGCCGCTCTGGGCCGACCGGACGCGTCCGGTCACATCGGACCGGATGCTCCCAGCGTCCGATCAATTATAGCGCTGAAAACCCCGAGACCTGCTGGTTCATACCGGACACGTCCGGTGTGGCGACCGAACGCGTTCGATCGCAGCGTCCGGTCGAGTCCAGTAGCATAGCAATCTACACGATCCTATCATACTAGTAAGACTCATAGGATAAAGATATATATATATGCAAGTGGGTTTCATTCAACTCCTTAAAACTTAATGAACAAACATAATATAAAGTGTAGAAAAGTAGGGGTTATGCATCGGGGCTTGCCAGGGAAAAATATAACTAAGTTAGCTTTCCATCATGGCGACACGATCATCAATGCACCATCTTTTCCGCAACTTCGGTTATCTCCATGATCCATTGTTGTTTCTATTATGATATACGTGGATGCAACGTATAGATGTAAATAATCAACGACAACCGAAACTCTTAGAAATTAGATTACGCCTCATAAGCTAACGAGACAACTCTAACGTGCTAGTCTATGTATCCACGTCATCAAGTAAGACTCTTTCCCGGAAAATGTTTTCGTTCTACAAACCCCCAATTATTTTTGACATTTGATTGATTAAATATATATTTTCGTACTAGGGCTCATTTAGTTACCTTAATAAACTAATTTCTATGGAGCTACAAAAATTACCATGAGCACCTAATATTGTTAGGAATCTACTATAAAAATTTCAGAGCCAACCCTACTACCAATTCATCACAACAATTCCTACAAGTTCATGTTTGGACAATATTAAGTACCTCAAATTAATTATATAGTTCATAAGAATATTATAAAACTGTCGACACGGAAATTTCGTCCCGTGCCGAGGGCACACGAGCAAGCCGAAAGGGTCCGCTCGATGGAGCTGGAGATCCGCCTAGCTTCAGCGCAGGGATGGTCAACCCTGCGCACTCCTCCCGAGACGTGCCAGTCAATTTGACCCTGCAATTGACAAGGAGAGAAATTTTATCAGTAATTTAAAGCGAAATATGCCGGTGTTGCCAGACAGTCCCGAATGTGTGGCTCTGAGAGCCGATATGAAAGAAGACCGACTAAATAGTCGATTCCAACATATTCATAAAAATAAATCAGTTAGAGCCCATGGGGTTGTGTAAGAAGAATCGGTTATCGTTCAGGATGAATATTATTTAGACAAATATCGGTCAATGGCAATAAGATGTCAACAGTAATTAATTTATACTGAGCCAATGACTGCGAGTAACCGAACTCCTTTATAAAAGAAACAGTTCATCATCATTCAACCATTTAATAGAGATAAATCTAATGAACATATTAGATCTCATCTACCGCTATGACTAGTGGGGCATGAGGCAGAATCATGCAGGCCGTAGAAACAACAATAGACTCGACGACCCTAACTTATTACTAATGTCAGTGGGGCATGAGGCAGAATCATGCAGGCCTTAATACAATAATAAGATTTTGGGGCTAACACATCTTTCGACCTATCGCTACTTCAACGGTCTCGTGACGTAAACTGTTCATGAAAGCACTCGATATCGGCTAAAACAGCCGATTCAGGCATCGCACAGTTAAGATCATGCCCTCTCAGAAATAGATCTACCAAATAACGA